TTATTTTATTTTATTATTATTATTATTATTATTATTATTATTATTATTATTATTATTATTATTATTATTATTATTATTATTATTATTATTATTATTATTATTATTATTATTATTATTATTATTATTATTAGAGTAAAAAGCAGTTTGCCCCCTAAATTAAGGGCCGTTTTGCACTTTACCCCCCAAACAAAATTTTTTTGCACGTTTTTACCTAAACTACGTTTTTTGTTGCACGGTGCCCCCTAAACTCAATTTTCCGGCAATTTTGAACGGAATGTTCAATAATGTGCGTTTCACGTGAGATTTATGGGGGTAAATTCGTCAATCCACTTAACTGCTATATATTAAATATAAATAAATTATTAAAAAAAACAAAAAAAAAAAAAAAAAAAAAAGAAAAGGGAAATTATCATCGTCTTCCTAAAGTCAGTAACCTCGCAAAGAAACAATAGGCATTCTCAACCCACAACCCACTTTCCACCTTCAACATCGGAATATAAGTTTTCAAGATTTATCAATTTGATGAAATTTGGGTGAATTTGCAGCAGGGATTTCACCTTCAACATCCGAATACAGGATTCTCACTTGAGGTGTGGGGGTTGCCTGAGCTGGTGAATCGACCGTCGGAAAGGATCGCATCCGTCGGGCTCGAGCCGATCGCGGTGAGCGTGACTGCCGCCGGGACTGTTGAAATGGCGAGTGCGACGATTGGTCCGATCGGGAGGCGGAGGAGAATCCAAATCCGCCCCGACACCGAAAGGATCCGAATCGAGACCTCCAGCTGCAGCTCCGATGCGCTCGTCATACAAACTCCAATTACCAAAATGGGCGGTTCCTGCTACCAAACCTTCAATTCAAGAGAGAGAGAGAAAGAAGGGGCCAAATTCCATATTCAATTTTTTTTATTTGGGATTTAGTATGTATAAACGTTTTCTCCATTAATGAACATTTGGAGAAAATTTGTTCAGAAAAATAAAAGAAGGGAAGAAGATGAAGAAGAGAGGAGAGAGTCAGAGACGATAGAGAAGAGATGATGATGGTCTGGGTTTTTTTCGTTTTTGGTTTTTGTTCATTTTTGTTCTTTTTCTTTTTTATTAATTATTATTATTATTATTATTATTATTATTTTTATCATTATTATTATTATTATTATATTTTAAACATTCACATATACCATGTACGGAAAGTGACCAATTTGCCCCTGCAAATCTTCTGTGCCATACCCGTGTAGTCCTATTTCCGTCAAAAATTACCGGAATA